GGCAAGGTGTAAAAACTGAAAAGGGACACCAACTCACAGGACAAGAAAATTCCCCTCCTAGCAAATGTGGGAAAAAACGAATGTGGCAGTGCAATTAAAAATAATCTAGGCTTGTACCACTTTTATTTCTGGGTCATTACAGTGTAGACAGCAGTGTTAACTGGTTACTGTTGTAGGGTATTTTCCTTCCTAAAGTGTATTGCATTTCAAAGTATATAATCAGCAATTGCTGATGTGCAAAATAAAGAGGAAAGAAAAAAAGAAAAAGTATGCCTTGAGACTCTAAATATACCTGAGAATAGGATAATTAGTTATTTCCAGAGTGCTGGGGGATAGAAGCAGAGGGTGGCTCAAACCTGCTAGATCACATTTGATTGAGAAAGATATTTTTCACCTAAATACTTCTTTGAATTCTATACTTGTGAAATACTGTAGCTATATTTTTGTCAACAAGAGTAAAAGGAGAAACTTACATGTTGTAGGGTTTTAAGAATTCATTCTATGTTATAAAGCTATGCTTTTAATTGCATCATTAAAAAGCAAATAATCTTGATTGCTTTTTTAAAAAAAGGCTGATTAGAAAGAAAGCAATATTGAGTTAGAAATAACTTCAATATTAAGGCAAAGAATTGTAAATGGAAATTTAAGCCATCCAGTAAGGATCCATGTTCTTGAGAAACACTGTACACACATGATAGAACATATCATTCATTATGTTTAGTAAAGCCAGAATTGTGTGAAACAGAAAAAGTTGACATTAATTGTTTTAATCATTAAAATCTTATGCACCCTCAGCAACTTGAATCCATTTGACAATGAAGGAGGAAGAGGACATAAATTCAAACAGCTGACACAGTGATCAGCAGCAACTGACAGTATCTCATTTGATATTTGATATCAAGCACTAGATCAATATTTGTGAGATCAATGCAATTTTAATGGTTTTCTTTCAAAACTGCATGAAAGCCAAATCATGTCACTCTGAACTACTGTTATTTTTAGAGCTGGTTATTCCAGGGGATGATATTAAGTAACTTACTGAAGCAAAGCAAAAGTAAAAGAGGCAGGGGTTGAGGGGTGGTGGAAAACACCCCACTGCAACAAACTATGGATATTCAGTTGAGAATCCAGGGGAGGTGCACATGTTTATTTAAAAACACTTAGGTATGATTGTTTTAAAAGGTGGAAAGCTTTTGAAAGATTACCAGGAGGCATGTGAGGATGAGTGGTTCAGGGACAATCTTTCAGATAATGTAAGAATTAGGTGATAGCTGAACAAACACAAACATACATGATAGAAGGGGGAGACTCTGGTCTTTCCCTCATGTGTAGAATTGATGGGAAATAACAGACCTTTCTCCATTCTTGGAAGAGTTGAACTGAAAACTCCATCTGAAACTTAATCAATGTTCTCACAAAGATAAAATAGAAAAAAAAAAGGGTAACTATAAATGTTGTCTATTATTTTTCTTAGATGTGTTTCTCCCTTAAAAATGAAATGTCATTTATCTGACCCAGAAGAACACAGTTTTCTACCCTTTAGTTCTATTTGGGTAAAATTCTAAACTTGGCTTTATTGGTTTTTACAGATTTCTTTTGAGGAGTTTCCACCTAGAGGAGGAATCCCAGGCCTTCAGTTGGGACAGAAACTCCCAGGGAGGGTGTCAGAGGGTAAGAGCAGCATCTCACTAGGATAGTACAAAGGTGACAATTGCACTGGGGATTGTGCTTGACAAGCAGAGGTTTCATTTCTCAGATGATGAGAACCAGAAAACAGCTTTCATTCATAATTCAACTTTAATTTAAAGCTGGGGGAAGAAATTTGCTTACCACTGAAATAATAGCAACATTTTAGGAAATTTCTGACCCCAGCTCTAAAGATCTCTCAGTATTCAGACAGAATAAGATACTTGGGACTCCACCATTCTTAGCTTCCCCCAAGTGCTGCTCTGTTCTGGATTCTAGCATGTTGCTGAAGGAACTTTAAGTTCATATTCCAGTGCTTTTACAAATGTGCACTGGTCACCTTGTACTCCTTAAGAAACTAAGTAGAGACGGAATTTTCGAGGGTTTTAATAGCTCCATAAAAAAAAAGACAACCACCACCACCATGGTCTGCATGTGTTTCCATGCTCTTTTGTATTCAAAATTGGCAGAAAGCCTACAAACTAAAGACATTAGCAGTTTAAATCAATTTCCTTTAATGAAATAAAGTCAACATTAAACACAAGTCCATATTATATACCAGCAGAACTTTACAGATGCAAAACAGGCTTGAGGCATCTAAAAATGTTTATTGCAATGTCTTGAAGATTTTGAGCATGAAACAATCTATTTCATAAAAAAGTTACAAACTTTCATGGAGACCAGCACATACAGAGCACCTACTATGTTATAGGCACTGAGTAGACATACACATATTGTATATGTTGTCTGTAGATTTCAGTTGAAATGAGCAAGAATGAGCATAAGTACTCCATACAAAGTTATATATACATGAGACATATACTGCCTATATGCATATAACTTTTTTTCTATTTGGTCTTAAAAAAAACCCCTGAGGTATTTTAAGGAAGAAAATGAAGTTTATATTCAATGGCAATTAATTTGGAATTCATAATTTGACCAATACTTTTTCCTCATAGTAGGAAGAATTTTAAGGTTTAGTGCAGCAAAACTGCTGTTCTTCTTAAGCCACTTTGAAGCAACATTGGTGAGTCTACAATCACATCTACATGTTAATCTCTGGTTTTGCCTTCAAACAGAATTCTGTTACAAAGAACTCGGAAAGATTTTGAATCTATTCAGGAGAGGAAAACTCTTTAATTTTCTGAGGAGTAAAAACTCCCCAAGAAACTTCATATAGCTTCTTAGATTTTGCTTCACATACGTGATAAAACATTGATTGTTGCAGTCTGGTGACCCATGAAATTTGGGGGTTAGTTTTCTCTTCAGACCAGAGCATATAATTATGCAAATAAAGAGCTGTCACTGATCTAGTGAAATACTCACAAACACATGCACTCTGAAATTGGACAGAAAAGTGAAAATGGTCTGAGATGTGACGGTGCCGTGGTTTGCTTTCCTGCCAACTTTCTATCCGAGTTCATTATTCAAATTGTAAACTTTAAAGAGACATATCATTCTTGGGGTGCTGGGTGTTTTTCATTTCAGATTCTTTGTTTTGGTCACAGAGTAAGTTCAATATCATTTTACCTATGACAGTTTTGCATAACACCCAATGTAAAAGACAATGCTGAAGGATCTGGAGAGACAGGTGCAGGACCCTCATGCATCTCGTCCTAGAAATATGACTCATAGCTATTTAAACAAAGTCCATTTCCAACAAAGAAAGTATAGTGAAATGTTTCTCACGAACTTAGTTGCCTGGAAAGGTATCATGGATTAAGTCAAATGTTCATTTTCTAAGTTTTACATCCACATGGAAAAATCTGGCCACTCTACAATGTCCAGTTACCAATTAAACCTTCAGGACAGCTTTCTCTAAATAGTAAATCTCAAGCTTTTGTGCTTTATTTTCCATTATTATTCCCATAAAACCTTTAAACTGAGCATTAACAATTCTTCATTCTATCGGTCACATTAGCCTTGAGTTCTCCCAGTCCCAAAGTTACACAGGCTGTTGCATAATTTTAGATGTCATGGAGGGTCCCACTGATGAAATCTGAGAACTAATGTCAAACCACTGACTACTAAAGACATCACTTCATGAAAGCAATGGTGCGAAACTTTAAAAACATTGATCCAAATGGACCAATTAAGTCAACATCCATCCCTTCTAAGGGTGAGTTTTAAAAATTGTCATTGTCATTTAAAAACTGCAGATTTCAAGATAAATTCTGGACTGCTTTGATAACTATTTCTATTCTTGGATCTCTCTCAGTGCACTTAATGTTACCCCCCCTTCCAGCATCTTCCAGTTGGTGTGTATTCTCTGAGTACAGTGCATGGCAGTTGCAATGGTTTAAATCTAAAACAACTTCACAAAGCTAATGCTTTAGGAGGGATAGCTTTAAGCTCTGTGAAGTGTTGATTAAAAACCCTTTCCCAGACTCAAACTGATCTTTTTTGGGGGAGATTAATAGAATATTAGATAAAAAGAGGAACAATTCTAGAGACTCCCACTCAGTCATTCTTCACAGGGACGGAAGGAAAGTATTACAGGTTTTAAAGGGGGTATGTCTCAGAGTCTTTTATTTAATATTATTATGCCAGAGGGTATATAGTCACCACAATTATACCCCTTTTTGCCACCCATATTTGCCTCACTTGTTTTTTTTAGCCTAACCCCACACAACATGAGAAAAGTTCCAAAAAAATTTACACTGTGAAAATGTATACTATGGAAGTTACTTAATAATAATTTTTTCTTAACAGCTTCCAACAGGAGCCTATAAGTCAACAATCTAAACAACAATTACAACATGGAAAATACATGCTTGGTTTTGAGCTCTGCAATCCAGAGAAAGATGAAAAAAATCTAGTTTTAAATTAGCAGTGCTAATTAAGTTAACACTAAATTCTGTCACCCAAGTCCCCTCAAAGGAGTGAAAGGCTTCAGAAGGAATAGCTGTGACATCAATGTAGTAAAGTCACTTTTGGACTGAACATACTTTATCAAGGTCTGACCATCAGCAGTTTGGGAGCAACTTGATCTTACCAGCTCTCTTTGAAAAACCTATTTACTGTATACTAGTGGTTATTTTATAAATCATTTTAAAGACAAGTTTTTCTAATTTCCTTACTTACATATTAAAAATATTTGACTAAAAAAATGTTACCTTTATGACATATATGAGCCAAGAAGAGACTCAACTAAAGTCAGGATATTGCCTCACAGCAATAACAATAGTAATAATAATAGCTATTAAGTCTTATAATATTGATGAATATGGTCCAATAACTCTGTCTAGGTCTCAGCTTTGAAAGCCTCTGCAGGTGGTGAAAAAAAGAACTGATGAAGAATAATACACAGCTGCTTGTTGGAAAAACTTTTTTTTATTTTAAAATGTTAGACAGAGAAGAGATTAAAGGAAACTCCTGTGCTTTGTTTATTTTTGACATGTAAACAAAAATGCATTTCAGGAAGCACAAAGGCAGAAATGTGAGAAAAGAACAATTATTACAAGTAGATGGTCTTTCATATTCCCAGGATGACTTTCAAGGACTTCATATGTTAGGTCCCCTCAGAAAGTTCCAATGAAACTGCCTGGCAGTGAAGCTTCATCAGGACTATTCTGTAGCTCCAATTTATGTCTTTCTCAATCTATTTACTCTAAGAACTAAGCATATGATTAAAGAAAAAAAAAAAAAACCAAAAAACAAAAAGCCCACACTCTACCTTTATACCACTATGTGTCTAGAATCTTTCAAAGGAAACAACAAGGAGAAGACCTGTTATTAACACTGGCCACTGCTCTGTAGGCGGGAGTACTGTCAACTGCTTGTTGTTAGTTCATGAAAAATGAGGTGAGTAGTATTATTATACCTATACGGACAGCATCCCAATCAACAGGTTAAGAAACCCTACATTATAAGGAATCACTTATCACTGGAGGGTTTTGCCTGGCTCCCTCTGGGTTGCTACAGTGCAGATCCATAAGTAGCAACAGACATTGACAAAATGTAACATTGTAAATAGCTCTCTATCAGACAGATAACAAGGTTACAATTCAGTGATTATAAAGAGCTCATCCTAAGAAAACTGACTTTCTCTGTAAAAGTGAGGGATCTGGAGGAAGGCCCAGCAGTCCTTTGGTTCATAAGCTGAGCACATTTACTTTGCTTTAGTTCTGCTGCAGAAGCTTCCCAGATTTATCCCTGCACCAGTGATGATTTTGTCTTAACATCACAAAATTAGTTTCTTGTTAATATTTTCATATACTGAAAACACCAGATAATTTATAACATTTGTAAGATGTATTCAACCCACACCAATTTTTCAAAGTCAGTCATTGAGAAGACATTATTTTTTACAGAGTTCACCAATCCCTCTAAAATAAGAAATGTGAAGGGTCACTATGACAGAGCACTGTGCTTGACATTGTTAGATAAAACACTATTCTGATTTTCCTCTTAAGTTGTTTCTGCTTAAGTAATATCAGAAGATGTCCAGACATGATCCATCACTGGTACTTTACTTCCCAGGCACAGAAAACACGGAACTATTGAGTGCATGGAGTACTGGTTCTAAAACTTGCTGAAGTCAGTTCACAATATTAAAAAAAAAATTTCTTCATAAGCTTATTAAGTTCTGGTTATTCTGAGGCCTCAGTATCATTTTGGATATACTTTTGCATGTTCTCAAATAAGGCAGACTCATTACTTGTTGAATTCACTTAAAGGATTGGAAGTATTAAATTCACAATCTCACCCACTGGATAGGATTTTCACTAATTGAAATCTTCAAGTAATTTATGTTGAATGTTTTAATTTAAAACATGGCCACTTATTTTATCTTCTGCATTTCACAGTATTCGACAGATCCCAGTTGGTGTAAAGGACCTAACAGCTGGAATTATAGGGCAAAACCCTACCAGAGGAAGTGGGACACTAAAAATTGTGCACCTTTAAAACAAAGTCATTCTCTTTTCCTATTGTAGATGAAAACTGAAGCCTTTTAAACCTTATTTAGCCTGTCAGAAGGATGAGGTTATGCAGTTTCATTTTCTTGATGATACTTAAAAAAAAAAAAATAATCCCGTATCTGAAAAGGTTCACTTACATAAAGGTCAAAGTATACTTAGTACGGATTAGTAACTACCACTAACTCTTTGCCCCATAGTACACAGAAAGCAAGCCTTAAGTGTATCATCTAAATGGTACTCACTCAGCATGTTACACGTTTTAACAGTAGGGCCAGTTAAGTGTGTTAGAAATTTCACTGAAAATGGGGCCTTATACCTACAACTAAAATAGCTGCTTATGTTTTCATTTGAACATTCTCTCCTGATGTCCAGAAAAAAGGATTCGGATTCAGTACTTTATGAATTGTTATGGAAAGTTTTTCTTTTGGTCTTGAAATGGAAATGGGTCATTACAGGGAGAGAAGAATTTGTACTCCCCAAACTACATAGTACCTCATGGCATTCGTGTGCTCAATTTAAAGGTGGCATTTCTAGGACTCGGGTGTGTGGCTTTCTATAAAAGAGAGGGACTCATAAGATGACCCGAGGGAAAAACTTGATTAAAATTAAAGTTTGAAGTCTAGAGTAAAAGCTTGCTGGATTTAAGGATAAGTAAAAATGGGCACGATTCAGCCGCGGCCGCACTGCAGCAGGCGGTAGGACCGCGCAGACGCCGCTCGCACACGCGGCTCACCGGGGAGGTTAGCTGCAGAGAGCCGCGGGGCTCCGGGCGCGCTCAGCCTGGGTCGGCCGCCGACCCCAGCGCCATGCCCCCCCAGCTCAGCCCTCAGGAAAGGCGGCCCGCTGACTCCATATTGCTTTGACAGTTGCACTCATCTAGAAATAATGCAAAACACTATTTAGAGGAACATATCATGGCCCTGTGCTGGAGGAAGAAAGCAATCTAGCGGGGGCCGGGAGGCTGCGGGCGCGGCGGGAGGGCGGCGGCGAGCTCACAGCTCTTCGTGCTTGATCCGGTGCGAGCGCCGCGTCAGGGCGGGCTTGTGCGAGCTGCTCTTGGCGTGCGACGCTTCCGCGAAGAACTTGAAGATGGACGGGAAGCTCTTCCAGGAAGTTAGTTCGTGGCGGTCGGTGCCTGCGGAGACACACACGAGATTACAAGGTGTCGCGCGGGTGTGTGGCCACCCGCAGGAGGCGAGGAGCCCCGCCCTCCCGGCGAGTGCACGGGCACCGGCGAGCTCCGGGACCCAGGCTCCGCCAGTCCTGGGGGCGCACCGCCTCATTGCGCCGGTCCCCGCCTCCCCCGGCCAGCACTTGCCCGCAGGGCGCCAGTGGAGAGGCCAGGCGCGCCCGGGGGACCTCCGGCCCTGCGGGCCAATCCAGAAGCTCGGCGGGAAGGGCCACTCCCTCTCCCGCCTAGAAACCACCCACTTCCCCAGGCCTGGGATTGGTTTCCCCTGCGTGCGGGATCCCGAGTCTACCACACCCACCCCTTAGCGCCTCGGTGGCTTTGCTCCCGGGCAGAGTGGAGGGAATAATTCTTTTTCTGGCCTGTCCCAGTCTCTGATGTTGAACACGAATGCTTCAGAGAGGTCACTGGGACCAAATCACTGGAGATATTTAATGAAAGGCCGGATTCAAAAGGAGACCAGGGGCCTTGAAAGTATCCTAAGCGGGCCACATGCTTTACAGCTTTTAGGAGGGCAGATCTAGAAACGCCAGACAAAAAGTGTTTCAAAGCAGAACCACTGAAAGCATTTAGGTCCCCCTATTCAGTCGTGGTACTCAGAAAAGCGGGAGATATTCAATTTACCATGTTGTCTTACCACAGCTTCTGTCTGTGGCTTGGGTTGAATACTATACACCATTTCTCAATCAAATGGAACCTTTAGTTTGACAAAGAAGCAAGTAACATATAGGCATAGGAATACGAGAATAGCCCGGGCTTAAAAAAACTTATTGTGATAGAATATATAATTTAACCAATAACTTCATAATCAATTTTTAATTAAAATAAAAATAATTACAAATACTCCCATAGAAATTATGAGTGGTTAGCTCTGAAACAGTTGGAATCATGTCCTCAGTATCTTAATTATGCAGATACTGCTTGGAAGTCTGCAAATTCAGGGCCTCTGATACTTTAACATTGTTAATGATAATTCTTTAGTCTGTAATAGTAGGTCATTGCTATGGTTACTCTACAATGGTGCAACACTTTGCCTTCCCCCTTCAGCTATTCGCTGAGACCTGGTAACCACATTTGTTGCCTAGCAACAGCTTTGTGACAGTATCACAATCTGGGAGTTATAACAATAAAGATGCTATGGCTGCACTGGTTGGCCAGAGAGCAGAAAGCTATAGTTTGTGCATATAACTTAGCTGTGGGAGCTGACCCCAATGGAGAAGGCATCTCTTCACAGGTGCCCTTCACAAGGGTGTCTTCATCCCCCTCCACTCTGGCCTTATGAACCTATATGTGGAACTAAGATCCAATATTGAAACCATACTCCGGAGATATACCCTCCTACACCACTGTATGCAGACTGAAAAATGAGGTCACTTCTCTGTTTGCTTACGCATTTCTGGCAAAATTCAATTTATTCCGTGGGAGGGACTGATGAGCATAGGTTTTACTGGTAAATCCTGAAGGGCCAGAATGAATTCTGATAATTGTTATTAGAATTCTTCGGGGGAAAATGTCTGACTTCATCAGTATGTGTGTAAAATTACTAGGTTTTTAAAAACACATTACATGCTGATATCATTGTATTTTTTTTTACTAAGTTAGTTAGATTATGCCCATCAAGAATTTCTTTGGATTTGGAGGTAGTTACAATTTCAAAACACAAGTGAACAGTCCTAGACACCCTAAAAACATCTGTTTCAAGTAAATGGCGTGAGCATTTCTAGAAGGCTCTGTCTCTGGGCAGGTTTATGAAAGGACTTTTTCTGCAGGCTTTGCCATCTACTTCAGTTTAGTAATAACTACTACAGTGCCCTAATGATGACAGAGTACTTAATCTGTATGTCTTCCTTTTGAAAGACCATCCTCAGATGCATAGCACATGGTGACAGCTACTTCCAAACACAGTAAGCTTCTCCCCAAGTGTTAACTGTTTCTCTTCCTTCCCACTCCTAACCTTCTACTCACACTTGGCATTTCTCCATAATGATCTGTTACACCTGCCAGTGTTGCCCAGGCGAGGATCTATTTGTAAATTTCCCCGGGAGCTCCTCTCACAATTTCTTCTCCTTGAAAACAAATCCAATCTATGACTCTAGAGAGACTTGGAGTCAATGGTCTCAAGCAATTTTTTTTTTTTTTAATATCAAGCACTTTTAACCCCCTTTCCCCCTAGTGACAATCTGACAGAACAGGTGTCCTTGAGGATAAAATCACTAAATAATTCTTTTGGGTTTCAGCTCATGACAACTCTCTGCCTGAGTGGTCTGGTCTGCAGAGACCAGTGTACAAGGAGAACTGAATGCTTGAAGTTGCTGACAAGGTTGACCTCTGCAAATAGACTAGATTTTATGCTTCATCAGGAGGGAGGGTTAATAAGTAAAGTTGATTGCCAACGGAGTCTCCTACTTTAACAGTTAGGGGACGGAAGGTGGAATTCTTTGTAAAGCAAGAACTGGCAAATGCATATTTTATATCTTCATAAAAAATCTCCCCTTTGAGTTGGTAGGATGGCTCAGCTGGTAAAGGTGCTTGCTGCTAAGCCTGACAAGCTGGGTTCAATCCCTAGAACCCACATGGTAGAAAGGGGGAAATGCCTGCAGGAAGTTGTCTTCTGACCTCTGTATGTGTGCCATGGCACACACATTGAAGTGTAATGTAAATTATAAAAGTTTCTGGGTGGAGGAGGGAAGGATGGGGAACTGTTGTTGGTACACACACACACACACACACACACACACACACACACACAGGGAACAATAATAAAGAAGATGCCAATAATTTAATTTGAGGTTAGTATGGAAGGAATTGGAGCTGGAAGAAGGACGAATGCATGTTGAGAATAATGTACTCATGTATGAAATTCTCAAAAACTTTTTTAATTAAAAAATTCTTAAGCTTCGGGAGTGGTCTTTGTGCATGTGTTCATGTGTGTGTATGAGTGCACGTGAAGGCCAGAGGACGAACTACCTCAGGTGTTATTCCTCAGTCACCTGTTTGAGGGGGAGGGGCAGGGTCTCTCATTGTCCTTGGAACTTCACAAGTATAACAGGCTGGCTGGCTGCACAGTGCATTCATGGATCTGCCTGCCCCACTCTGCCTTTCCAACACTGGGATTACAAGCACATACCATCATATGGAGATTTCCTTTATGTGAGTTCTGGGGAGTAAGCTCAGGTCTTTGTGGTTGAAAGGCAAGCATTTAACCAATGAAGTCATTCCTCTATCACTGGAAGTGAATTTTTAACATTTAAAAAGTAGCATTTGGAAGATGCATAATTATTTGTCAGTCTTGGTTTGCATGCAGTTTCAAGTATATGTTTGGATATCATTTAAAACAGACGAGTGGGGCTGGGGAGGTGGGTCAGCAGTTAAGATCACATGTTGCTTTTGTAGAGCATCCAGGTTCATTTTCCAGCAACCACATGGTGGGCAACAACCATACATAAGCACAGTTGTAGCATATACAACATCCTATTCTGGCCTTGTGGGCCCTACAGTACACAGGCATAAATGCAGGCAAATCATTTCAGGGACAAAGTTCCCTTGAAAATATTGATATATTACTATGAAAATCTGGACATAATTATGCTAAAATGACATTTAAATATTTAGTTTTGAATTTGAATATTGTGTGTTTTTGTGTGGGGTATGCACATGTGAGCACACACTTTTGAAGGCCAGAGGTGTCAGGTCCCTGGAGCTAGAGTTACAATGAGTTGTGAGCTGCCTGTTTTAGATAGCTTTATGTCAACTTGACACAAGCTACAGTCATCTGAGAGGAGGGAACCTTACTTAAGAAAAACCCTCCACAAGATTGCAAGCCTATAGAGAATTTCTTAATTAGTGATTAATGTGGGACAACCCAGTCCACTATGGGTTAGTGGTCCTGGGTTCTATAAGAAAGTAGACTGAGCAAACCATGAGACTCAAGCCAGTAAGCAGCACCCCTCCAAAGTCTGCATCAGCTCCTGCCTCCAGGTTCCTTCCCTCCTTGAGTTCCTGACCCATCGATGGACAGTGATGTGGAAGAATGAACCAAACAATCCCTTTCATCACAGCACTGATAACCCCAGATAAGAAACCACATGATGTGGTTCTAGGAAACTGAAGTCAGGCCCTCAGGAAGAGCATTATTTGCTTTAAGCATTACACTCTCTTTCTAGCTCTGCAATCGAAGTAGCGCTGAGGATGGATAGCTCTCAGAGCAGGAAGAGAGGCTATCTCACTCTGATGCCAACTAACTCAAGCTCCTTACAGGTCATCTGTGACATTTACTGTTAAAGACTCCTTGAGGGTTATCTTAATTGCATTAATCTAGGTGGGAAGACCCCATGGGTGGCACTACACTGGGGTCCTGAGTTTGTTAAGTGGAGAGGAGCTAAGCATCCTGTAGTCAGTGCTCTGATTTGGACACCACCTGAGGACTTGCTTCAAGTCCCTAACCTCTTGACTTCCCTACCCTAATGGACTGTATACTTGATCTATGAGCCAAAATACCCTTTTCTTCATTAAGTTGCTTTTATTAGGGCATTTTATTACAGCAACAGGAAAGGAATGAAAGACACAAGCCTTGTTCACTTGCTCTTGGTACTTGCTATTTTTGTCAGTAGAGGGGGTGTGCACAGGGGCAAAAATATATAAATTCTTACTTAGCTAAACAATCTTGATATTTTGGCAGATGTACACTATTTCAAAGCTGTAACCCATTTTTTTTTTGCTTTTAGTTTTAAAAAAAAATCAAACACAGGGTCTGGAGAGAGGGTTCTTTCAGGGGACTGGAGTTCAATTCCCAGCATGCACCCAATTCACAATCACTGAATTCCAACTCCAGGGGAATCTCATGCCTCTGATCTTTTTAGGGCAACTGAACTCATACACACATATATTCCATATACATAATTATAAATATTGAAAAAATCTTTAAAAAGTTAGGTGTAAATTATCTT